ACTGTGATGGGTGCTGGAGATCTAGACTCAGTTCCTCATGACTGTGACGGGTGCTGGAGATCTAGACTCAGCTCCTCATGACTATAAGGCAAGCAGAGGACTCTGCCCACTCAGCCACCTCCCCAGACCCAATACTCATCATTCTCTAAAGCAATTCAAAGAAACAAAAGCCCAGACATATCTAGTCAGCCAGCAAAGACTTATTTAATACCTCCATTTATAAAGCAACTACAGTGATCCTGGCAAGACTACACCAGCAAAGTACCTGGACTTAATTCACAGTAGTTTTCATGAGGTAATTTATGCTTTTTTTTTTTTAATTAAACATTCCTCCTGGCTCTGATACTTATAGAAGAAGGTATGGGTTTCCTTTACCTCTGTGAGAGATCCACAAGGCACACCACCATGCAGCGCTTCATCCAAGGGACAAAGAGTAGTAGATAGGAAGGCTGGTGAGAGATGTGCAGACCTTCGTGTCTTCAACTCATAAGCCTGTAGGAGAAAAGCATCATGTCTCTTTCAGTTGCTAATTAATCAAAACCACAAACCAAATCTGTAACCACAAGCCACCCTTCTTTCCTCTGTTATTCATTTGAACAGTGAGTATTTACCCAGTGCCATTAACTATGGGATTAGAACACCAGACGCTACAGCTTTAACAAGAGGCGGAGATGTACAGACTACACCTGGTCCAGACCTGGTTGTCTAGAGGGCTTCACTGAAGAGCCAGATGTCTATGCAAAACTCCGAATATGCTGTTAGATAAGCAAAAGAAAGGTAGGAATTCCTGCCAAAGAGGCGAGGATATGCACAGAAAGAGAGAGAAGCGAGAAAGCAGTGGAAGCTAAGGAAAACTGCAAACAATGAATAAGTAAACGCAGTTTTCTAGGGATGGCTGAAAGGCAGAAGATGACAGCAGTGTGGCAGTGATGGGGCTGGAAAAGCAAGCAGGGGCCTCACACCATAAGCTCCAGGACAGAGGTCACATGATCATGGGATCATTCCAAACTCAGGGTGATTTGTGAAGCACAGTTTGAAAGAGGCTAGAGAGAGGTGAGAAATGGCCCTAAAAAATATCCACACCAAATCCCTGGAGCCCATCTGTTAACACAATTATATTTGAAGAAGAGGTCTGCAGGTGCAGACGTAAAGACCTTTGGGATGAGGACATAATCGTGGATCATTTGTGTGGACCACAAATGCTAACACAAGTATACATCGAAGACAGAGGCAGAGGCAGCTTCACGGGAGGAAAATGTGACAGAAGATGGGGCAGAGGAGGGGGAATGGCCACAAGCCAGAGAATGTCGACCTTCTTCAGCAACTGGAAGAAGCTAGGAAGGGACGCTGCCCTAGATACACTGCAGAGGGTGTAGCTGTGTCTGAGCCACACTGTGAGGCAACAACTTTCTCTTCTTCAAATCCACTCATTTGTGGTAAATACAACAAATTATCACAATATTGTTTTATGTGTATGGGTGTTGTGCCTGCATGTATGTCTGTGTACCACATGCATGCCTGCTGACTGTAGAGGCCAAAAGAAGGCATTAGATCCCCTGGGACTGTAGTTATGGTGTGAGCCACTATTTGGGTGCTAGGAATTAAACTGTGTCCTCTGGAAGAGGAGCCAGTGCCCTTAACTGCTGAGTCATTCTCCCAACACCACACATTATTATTTTGAGAAGATGCTAAGGTTGGCTTAGAGTAGCAGTTCTCAACCTGTGTTGAGAACAACCCCCAAAAGACCATCAGAAAACACAGATATTTACATTATGATTCATAACAGTAGTAAAATTACAGTTATAATGTAGCAATGAAACTAATTTTGTGACTGGGTTCAAAACAACATGAGGAACTGTATTCAAGGGTCGCAAGGTATTCAAGCGTTAGAAAGGTTGAGAACCACTGGTTAGGATAGCTTGATGCTGGAAAGGCAGGCAGGTGTCAAGCTCTTCCAACCATTCCAAAGGATAATCATGGTCGTGTGGGGAGTGTACCAGAAGTGGAGATGAAAACAGAGTGCTCACAGGTGCTGCTTCCAGCCTCTCTCACTGGCTGCCTCTTTGCAACGCTCTTCTTCACTGTGTTCCACTGGCACAGCCTGAGCTGTTCGATGAGCAAGCACCCTTCTCAGAGTCTCTGCACTTGCCGTTCTGATGGCAGACACTTCCCTGCCCCGCCTCTATCTATCCCCCATGTGTTTGCCTGCCTCCCCTATCCTTCACATTTTAAAGCATTACAAAAGCATTACTCTCACGAGGGAACTATCCTGTCCCCCAAAGTAAATAATACCCCTTATTGTTAAGTTACACGAACCGTTTGCATCTGTGGAGCACAAGCCTTGCTTACGGTATGCAGAAGCTCATGGACACCTCTATAACTCAGGCCAGTCACTTTCATAAGTTCTAGCGGGGAGAGACTTAAAAAGTCCTAAAAAGAAAAAAAAAAAGCAAAGAGAAATAGTTTAACATGCATGTGTAACCAAGATGTAAGAATTAAAAAGAAATTTTCATCATGGGCATTTTTAACTTAAAAGGAAAGCAAATATAAAACAGAAAACTTTCAGCTGTCACTGTTCATCTCTAGGCAGAAGTTAAATTTATTGCAGATATATGTATGCCTCTTTTACATCCTACCAGCGAGCTTCTTCATGCTTACTTGCTCCTTAACTCAGAGACGTGAGGCACAATCTGACTTTTATTCTATTACTCACTCTCCAGGTGGCATGTATCAGTGTCCCTGGAGATGACCCAAGCAACATCACGAACAGCACCCCAGTCCAAGGTTTTGCACTTGAGTTTAGGTCCAAATGTAGGCCCAGAAAGAATAAGATCAAAAAGTATCTGAGGCTAGGAGGTGGTGGTGCACACCATTACTCCCAGCACTCGGAAGACAGATGCAGCTGGATCTGAGTTCAAGCCCAGCCTGGTCTACAGAGGTGTTTCCAGGACAGTCAGGGCTACAAAGAAAAATCCTGTCTCCAGAAAAACCCAAAAAAATAAAAAGTATTTGTTTTCTAGGCTAAAAGTTAACTCAAAGAAAAGTATCTGACAACTGAAAGAGTACTTCATACTCTTAAAACCATTTAAAATATAAACATGATTATTAAATGTATTAACAAAAGAAACAAAAATATCCTTACAAAATCAATTCCCAAAAAAAGTATATGTTGTGAAAAATATGTTTACTAAAGACAGAAATTCTAAAATACAGCTTTAGTCCTATTTTCCCTCTTAAGAGGGAATTTCGTCATTACTGTACTTAAAGATGTAACATGTGGGGAAAAAAGAAAGAAAAAAAGAAAAAGGAAACGGAAAGAAGCAACTTCTGTTGTATACATTTATAAAGCCAAACCTAAAATATATACCACCGGGCTGGCAGGTATGACTCAGTTGCAGAGCACCTAGGCCTGGGGTTCGATCCTCAGAATTAGTAAATCATAATAATAACAGTGATTATTAATCTCATATATCCACACTGTAATTTCAGTTAAGTCATATTTCTCAAGTAACAATGAAAATAATTTTTAAGTGAATTAAACTTCTCAGGAACCCCCTCCCCCAAAAGATGGAAGAGGTATTCTTCCTTATGTCATGACCATTCTCGCCCTAAAATACAAAAATTAGACTTCGGTAAATAAAATTCCAGCTGAAATGCAACCTAAACCACTTATGGAAAGCACCATTGTTTAACTTACTTTTGTACATCTAAGCTTTTATTTTCTGTCTGTGGAGGTGAGAAGTCAATATTGGGTAGCTCCTTCAAATGATCTCTGCGGTCTGACCTCTGAGACAAACTTGGAGGTCACGATTTAGCTAGATTGGCTACCTAGCAAGTCCACTTGTCTCTATTTCCCTGGAGCTGGGAGTTCAGGGGTACACTGCCAGGCCTGGCCTTTTATGGCAGTGCTGGCACCAAGCTCAAGTCTTCATGTTAACATAGCAAGGACTTTACTGATGCCATCGTGTCCCCAGCTCCGCCCCCCCACCCCAATCCCACCCTACAGTACTAAATCTTTATAACCCAAATATAACAGTTATTAAATTATCCTTAAAATTAGTTTGTACACAAAATTTAAGTAAAAGTACACGAATGTTACCTGACAGTTAATAATCTGATATCTGCTTAAACGGTCACACAGCTCTGGAGACAAGCCCACTCGTCTTAGTTTCTTGCTGCTCATATTTCCAGGTCTCCCAAAGAATCTTGAAAAACATAAGAAAACAATAAACATGATAGTGGACAGACTATACAAAACACCCTATAAAATAAAGTACTTCAAACTTCTCTAGGTGCCAAACAAAACATGGAAAAATGCTAATAAAAAAGTAGGAAAGACATTTATCAACCATGTACACAAAGAAGGCAACCTCAAAAAACACATGCAGTCCTTTGATATCACATGACTTATGCTACTACCAACACAAGAGCCCAAGTCCCTTTAACACCTAAATCACCTGAATTACACTAAATACCCCTCCTCTCTCTCTTCATCCCCCATCTTCTACTCTCCTCTCTCCTCACAAAACCAAAATGCATTCCCTTTATGTCTTTCAAGTGAAATTTTGAAAGGATGATTTGTTTCCTTAAGAGAAAATTTACCAAAATTTATACACTATTCTATTGCCTACAACGTCTCAGAAAAGGTAGTTCTAGGCAATAACATCATTTAATGAATAAGTTCAGGCCCTCAAACAACAAAAACAAAAACCACCTACTACCCCAAAGTACAAAGACCTTAGCAATAACCACTCTGATTTAACAGTATCATTCTCACCACTTGCCCTCGCATCTGCTTATGGCTTCAAATTATTTCCCTGCTCCCATATATAATATAAGCTCTGCAAATATTCTCCATTTGTTTCTTTCATCAATATAAGCACGTGCAATGCTGAGCTTATGTCCTCCCTTTTGCATACTTACAACTGAAGAATGAAGAGACAGATATTCCACTAACTACATCTATGCCACAAGTATCGTTGCTATGTGCACGTGCTGCTGCAGCAGATAGGGAGAAGTCTCTATTGGCCTGAATTGGCCTGAAAAAAAATTAGGTTACATGTGACAATCCTACTAGAAGTATTTCCCTTAAATGTCAGTTTCATTGCTTAAAATGCTTCATGGGACCATCATACGACAACTTCCAAACTTTTATGATCACATTTTTTTTTTTACAACTTGAAAAGGTGTGATCCCTTACTTAGCTCTCACTCAAATATAAGACTGCAAAGGCACGATCAGATTTGTCATCCTGGCAAAGTTGTTCTCATGTGTAAAATAAGGGTGATTCTACTTTCTACTCCAGAGTTGATGCATAATGCTCAACGTAGGCGATCATTATAGACATGTGATTCTTCTAACGTGACCATCCACATCGGTAGGTTAGGTTACTCAAACACACCTATTTCCCCAAACTCTTCTCCAATCAATCACTTCCTCTCCAGTGCTATTTCCACACTTTGCACTTATTTCTTCCTTAATCAGGTCTGTGTGTTATTATAACGTATGCCTTTCTTCCTGATGTGTGCGAGTACGTGGGTCTTGGAGACAGAGGAGACAGCATCTCAGAATGAGCTTCTGTTAGGCGCCCAATAAAAATAGCGAAGCAACCAGAATCAGCTGTTTTGTAGGGGCTGAGGGGTTAATTTACTTATCGGGACCTTATTATGCGCCAGACACTAGTTTTAAATGCTCCGAATGTTTTTAGTAAACACACGAACTACCCAAGAGATAGAGCGAGCCAGCATTCGAATCCAGAGATCTGACTCCAGATTCCGCGCTCTTAACACAAGTTTGATAGTCCCTAAACTTGCCCGGATCCCTAATTTGCCCAGAAGCGGGGAGAGAGGTATCAAGGGTTAGAAAACCTGACGCAGAACGTCCTAATAAAACGGCACCTTCCAAGCATCCCTAGAGGAAGTCGGAAGCCCTAGGACCCGGTCCGGGTTCCAGGGAGGAGTCCCCGTTACAAGCAGGACTCCCCCTGGAACCCGGAGGAGTCCCCGTTACAAGCCCAATACGCAGGACTCTCCGCGACCCCGATATCAACATCCACCGGCTCCGAGAGGGAGCACGAGATAATGAGCATACCCTCTTCCCCACAACTGCCCCCCTCAGAAAACTCCAGTACCCGGTCAGCAGCTTGGAACTTTCAAAGTTTCCCCCACCATCACACAATTACCCGCGAAAAGTGAGAGCGGCAACATCTGGGACGCTGGTTGGTTGGTACTCTGGCGACTTATCCAATCATAAGCAGGAACAAGCTCAGGTTAGCCCCGCTGTATTTTGGGAATTGTAGTTCAGTCTCGAAGCTAAGCCTATTAAATTTCTCTTTTGTAGTATTTGTCTAAATCGAGGGGCGGAACCTTTCGAGACAAATGTGAAGCAAGGAAAACCTTGATTGGAAGTTCTCTTCCTCAGTGAATCCCATTTTAAAGTTGCTTCCTGGGCTAGAGAAGGTTCTTGGGGCGGGGGGGGGGGAGGGGGCGGGGGGCAGAGGGGTTAGAGAAAGGGTGGGCAATCTGCCCTATTCCCGTTTTGGGAGGGAAGCTTTGTGTTTCCTTTGCACTTTTCAACACACTTAGATGGTAAAAAATGTCCGGGAAATACTAACTAAAGCATATCAAACAAAAATATACATTGAAAAATAAACACTGAGTTTAATTGACAAAATAAAGAAAGTCTAGTAGGCTTAGTATTAAAGTAGTTGCGTTAAAAAAAACTAATAAACTTAAGAACGGACTTGATTACATGATTTGTGAAAAGCCTTTGCTCAATCTTATTTTCGTTTGCATTTCCTCAGTCTTCTGATGGATATATAATTATATAATATATATGATATATTCATGACATTAGAATAATGATGCAGGAAGATCCAGAACTCCTGTGGCTAACTCATCATCTGTCACTGGTTGGCACTGAGAAAATGTTGAAAATGTTCCAAAAAAAAAAAAGAAAAAGAAAGACAGTGGCGGGCGGGTAGGGGGCGTGGAACACAGATATCCTTGGGCCCAACACACCCGAAATGAATCACTGAAGGTGTTGCGAGGAGGAGCAATCATAATTAGGGAGGATCCTCAGCCCTGTAGCTAACAGATATAACTCTTCCTTCGCTTCAGCGTAGCAATCAGGTGGTATCACGTGACTCAAACAAACATGGCACTTGATTTGCATCTTGCTTCTTCTGAGCCAATAAGAGTTGCGCTCTCTTTCGTCATCGCCGCTCCTTCCACCACTCTTCGCAATGGGACCTGTCACCTGACTGGGATCAAACATGGCTGCTCTGGACGCGAAAATGCATTCGACTCCCGGAGCAGGTGAGTGTAAGGCGCAGGGAAGACTGCGAGGGTGCTGTCCACGACCCCGCTAGGGGGAGCAGCCCTGTCCCCCAGCCTCCCGGCTCTACAGTTCAGTCCCAGATTGATCTTTAGCCCTCTGCCTTAACGGAAGACTCTAACCTAGGGAGTTTTCATCCTTACCAAGTCATCCACCCACCTAGAGATTTGTAGTCTGACAAAATGTTCAGGAGGGAATGCGGAAGTAGATTTATGTGTCTGCCCCCCAGGCTAACACAAATATTAAGATTATTATATGTGAGGTCTGCGTTAGGAGATGGGATCCACCCCTTAGAGAAAGAGACGGTTCTCAAAAAGAGATAGTAACAGGTCAAATTAAACTCAAAACAAGCATTAGAAAAGTAAATTCTGCCGTTTTCTTTCGGGCCAGTAGCTGGTGGTTTAATCTAAAGTTTCGTTTCTTCTCAGCTCGTGTGGTGTTTCCGCGGATGAGAAAATTGAGAATGTATTTCGCGTAACGCCTCTATTTTCTATCTACCTGCACTCTGTGCTGGGAAAATGAGTTACCCATTTGGAAAAGAGGAAACCACTACAGAGGAGCAGCTTTTTGGTTTTTTCTGTGAGTGCCTGCGCAGGGGAGACTGGGAGTTGGCACAAGCATGTGTACCTCAGCTACACAGGGGACAAGGAGAGATCCCCCAAAAGGTGGAGGACATACTCCAGGCGCTGGTGCAGTGTCCTATTCTACTACGGTAAGTGATCCCCCACTCCTACCAGGATCTCAGAGAGGAAGATGGTGGTTCAGTATTTGTACTCAGGTCTTTATGCCCCCAATCGGCTACTTTCTTAAAAAGTTAGCACAAGTGGAGCACATTTCAATATTCTGATGTTTTATCTGTGTAATGTAGTTTACATTTAATGTACTCCAATGGCCTTGAATTACTCTCTACAGCTGAGTTTAAGCCTGGCTACCAAAAGGATCCTGAATTTCATTTCTTGTTTGTTATCCATAGAAGATGGTGTAACTGCATTCTTTCTCCAGAAGGCAAAGCCTACTCACTCCTCTTGCTTGTAAGATTGAAGATGCTGTTGCTCTAACAAAGAATGGAAAGTTCTTTAACTTAAAACGTTTTATTTTGAAATAATCATAGACCCACAGAAACTTGAAATATAATAGAGTCCAGCGTGACTGTTTTTCCAGCTTCTCCACTTGTAACATCTCATCCAGCCGTACTAAAACAGCAAAACCAGGAAACTGACCCTAGTACATTACTATCAACTACAGTAAAAAAAAAAAAATCTTACTTGATTGTCACCATTTTTAAATCTGTATTTGCTTTTTACTTGTTATTCTATGAGTTTTATCCATACAGAGGTTGCTATGAGCCCACTGTAATAAAGATACACACCACATGAATCCTCTCACTCCTTGCTACTGTACTGTATGTTTACACTATGACCCCTTCTTGCCTCATGAGAACCACAGTTGTCCATCCTAGATCTTAAAATTAAGTTCTTAGCTGTGCTATTAACTCATCCCATAGAAGCCAAATAATACCATGTTCTTTCTCTCACTTTAACTGCTCTGTTATAATCCGTAAAAGGAGTGAATTAGCACATAAAGACCAGAGGAACAAATGGCTCTTGTTATTTTTCCCCCCTTAAATACGAGTTCTAGGATATTACTGCCCAAACTACTGACTTAAAGTAAGGCTTTTGAATTCCTATAACTGTGTAGTTATAAGTGAATTTCTATGAACTCCCTTTATTCTCTTATATTTTATTCATTTTCTGTGTTCAAAATTACACTTAGGAGCTGAGTATGGTAATTTAACCCATGCATCCCAACTGAGGCAGGAGTAATGCCATGAGTTCAGGGCCAGCCTGGACTACAGTATAAAATGAAACTATCTCAAAACAATGAAGGATTCTGTGTGTCTCTGTGTGTGTTTCAGATAGCATTTATTACTGTGATTTTCTCTGTAGGAGTATATTTAAAAATAAGACTAAGTCAGGTATGAGGACGTTATGTCTGCAGCTGCAGACACTCTGGAGGCTGAAGCAGAGGAAGGATGATCACCTGAGCCTGGGAATTCCAGACAGCCAGCATAACAACACTGCAGCTGGGAAGCTAAGATAGAGTTAGATAAGGTACAGGCATTAATGCAAGCTGGAAGTTCTGTGGCTCTGTTTTGTTGAACTGTTATTTACAATTAAGAATTTCTCACTAGGACTTACCTGTTCAGATCTAAAGTGGGCTGACTGAAAACCAAACTATAAATCTTGATAATCACAAAGGAGAAAGGGTGGACTGAAACTCCTATTTTACTAAATCTTTCTTTCTTTCTTTTTTTTAAGATGTGGGCCAGATATCAACCCTCAAAAACTAGCCTGGCTCTGGCTTCTTGTATTAGAAAAATGGTTGGCCCCAGAAAAGGTACGTGGGTTTACATTTAAATTTTTCCCTGAGGCCAGGACTGAGAAGAACTTAGAAGGAGCTCAGACATCTTCCTTCTGTTACTTCCTTTATTTTGTGGTTGGTTATTTCTCGGTGTTGACTGTGGAAGTAGTTTGCTTATTAATTTGCCCTGGTGCCTTGGCATATAATATCGTTAGGAGTGATGCTATTTTGTTAAATTTCTCTAGGAGTCCTGCTCTTGAAGTGAACTTTGTGGAGCTCAGTGGCTGTGCCAGGATGGGTGGGGCATGGTGGTACAAGCCTACAAGCTCAGCTGCTCGGGAAGCCGACAAAAAAAAAAAAAAAATCACTTGGCCTGGGCAGCATAACAAGACTGTGTCTCAAAGAAAAAATGTGTGTGTGTGTGTGTGTGTGTACATGTGTGTATAAACAAGGAACATTTAACTCCAGAGAAACGACTCTGGGAAAGCCAGAGATGGAACCAAAATCAGATTCCCCTCTACCCCTGTCCACTTTCTCTATTTCATAATTATTTTAGTCCATATGGACTTCAAAGTAAGAAATTTAATTTTTGCTGGGTAGTAGTAGTGCACACCATTAATCCCAGCACCTAGGAAGCAGAGACAGGAGGATCTCTATATTTTCAAGGCCAACCTAATATACAAAGAAAGTTCCAGGATAGCCAAGGCTACACAGAGAAAATGTCCCCCTGCCAAATAAACAAAAACAAAAAAAAAAAACAAAAAACAATCAATTTTTAAGTATTTATCATTTTGCCTAATTTTTCTTGTATTTATTGCTTTCACATCAGAATTTAATTTTGTGTTTATGTTTTGCAACATTTGTCCCTCCCACGACTGTCCAAAAATACCAGAAATTCCTATTCTAAATGTAACTTTTGTGCTGTGATGATGTTTTTATTGTTGTTGCTTTTGAGATGGGGTTTCTCTGTGTAGCCCTGGCCATCCTGAAACTTACTCTGTAGACCAGAATGGCCTCGAACACAGAGAGATCCACCTACCTCTGCCTCCTGAGCACTGGGATCAAAAGTGTGCACCACCACCGCCCAGCAGAAATGTGTCTTTTAGACAAGAGTTTTAGGAGGTTGTCTAGCAAAGAGAAATTACAGAAAGACTATCAGAAATAACAAGAGAAGCAGAATTGTAAAATAATGAAACCTAGGAGAAGTAAGAGTCAGAACTGAAAGGGAAAAATGAAGTAAAGTAGGAAGTAAGATTCCATAGCATCTTCAAAGGGAGGGGGAGAGCGAGGCTTTGTTACTGAGTAAGGATCTTCCCATCACAAACCTGAAGTCCACTGACCTGACCTTTCCCCTTTGGGGAAGAGGTCTGCTTCCTCACTTGTAGCCTCACTGCTTGCTTATTCTCAGGAAGGTTGCTCAACATGATCAGGTGCTGGATTTCATGTGCTGGGCTCCTTAGCCTAGCCTGGGAATGATTCTTGTTTTGGCCAATATCAGACAGATTATCTTGTTCTTAAAGCTCCAGGGATCTGCTTCTTTAAAAAGTTACAGGAGTAGTTTTGTCGTTTGGAGAATTATAAGCTTTTATAAGGACCAAGTCTCCAGTGCTTTTGGGATGCCACAGAACCTGTTGTGGCTTCATGCTCTAGAAACGCGAAGTTTTCCAGGCTCCCGACACCTGCCAAGAGCTGCCTCTTAGTTGTTACTTGAAACAATGATGCTCTTTTTCTTCCTTTATTTACTTTTATCTCCTGTCTCTTTTATCTTGCTGTGGCTCAGGCCTACACGTGTTAAGCATGTGTATAAAGGTTTAGCTACAGCGATGTTTGCTGATAAGCTGATTCTAAAAGCAGAAAACCGGAAGTAACCATCACGTCCGTAGTTCACCACATTGGTTATTAAACAGAAGCATAGCTATATGTAATACACTATGCCACTGTTCAAAATTGTATGGCGGATGGATTTTCAGTGTCATCAGTAATACTTCTCCTTTGTTGGGGATTTTTTTATTTGTTACAGTTAAAATTTCTTGTAATTTTTTTCTACATCAAACATGTATTGCTTTTTTAAAATTTTCATGTTAGAATGATTAGAAATTACACCTTAACCAGTTCACTTCCAGTAAAGATTATTCTTTAAAACACATAGCTGCATGCCATGGGTTTCTTTGATTTGGAAATGAAATATGGTACCCTGTGCTAGGCATGCTTGCTAAACAAACATTAGATATCCGCCCCCTTTAGTTTTTGTCAACAACTGGAATACAAAGGATAGAGAATACCAAAAGCATAGTTGGATCAAGAGAGAATTATGAGGGAATGCCCACCAAGGCTTTCCTGTAACTGTTTTGGACATAGCAATAAAAATTCCTGATGGAAAACTTGAGTGATTTTTCAAAAAGAAGGAGTGAAGTATGGTGTCATATTCATGCTAGCAGGAGGGAAACAGAGGCAAGAGGACCCAGAGTATAAGGCTAGCCTGGGCTACATAGCAAGATTGTGTCTCAAAAAGGAAAAGGCACATGAAATGGACAAACATTGGAGCTTGAAGCTAATCATTTTAGACTTTAACTGGTGTGTGTGTGTGTGTACATATTCATATGGAATATGTGCATGGAAGGGCTTATGTGCGTATGAGGAGGCTGAAATCAATGTCAGGTCAGGTCAGTTGGGGGTCTTCCTCTGTACATCTTGACACTCATCAACTCGGCTATACTGACATGCCAGAAAACTCCCAGGATCCTCCTGTGCTGGGATTATATGCATTCAACCCTAGATATTTATTCTTCTTGTTTGTTTTCTTGTTGTGTTTGTTTTTAGGTATATGAGTGTTTTCCTTGCATATATGTCTATGCACCTCAGCAACTGAGCTATTTCTCCACTGCAGGTTTTGGGGTTTTTTTTTGTTTTTGTATGTTTGATCGGTTTGGTTTGGTTTGGTCTCAGAACATAGCTCTGCCTGGTCTAGAACTCACCATGTAGACCACACTGGCCTTGAACTCACAGATGTCTGCCTGCCTCTGCCTCCCAAGTGCTGGGACTAAAGGCACCATCACCCAGCCTTTGTTTTTGCAATGTGGGTGCTAGGGATCTGAACTCACATCCTCAAGCTTGTGGGTCTAGTGCTTTTCCAACTGAGCCACCTCTCCAAGCACCTGCATATTAATTTAAAGAGAGTTCAAGTTTAGCCAACTTTATTTCCAAAGGAGAGCATCTCCCATATCCAGGAAAGCTGGAGAGATGACTCAGACATTAAGGTACTGGCTGTTCTTCTAATGGACCCAGATCCAATTCCCAGCACCCACATTGAAGTTCACAACCATCTGTAACCCTGGTCTCAGGGAGCTAACATCCTCTTCTGGCCTCTGCAGACACCAGACTTGCACATGGTGCACAGATATATATATAAATCAATCTTTTTTAAAAATGTGTCTGGGGGATTAATGGTTAAAAGGACTTTATCTTAGAGAAACAGCAGAAATAAGAGTAACTAAAGAGAAATTGTATTTATTAAACAAAACATATGCCTCACCTCTGTAACTGCTTACTTTTCCTCTAGAAATTACTTTCTGCTGTTTTCCGGAGAAAACTTGAGTTTCTTTTTTTGTCAGAAGACCTCCAAGGGGACATTCCAGAGACCATTCTCAAGGTAAGAGGGCCACCTGCAGCCATTCAACAAATTCAACTTCAGGGCCATGGTTATACAGGTCTTTAAAATGTTAGTGGCCCTTTGTTTTCAGAGAAAGCAAAACAGGCCCCTCCAAGGACAGGGTAGACTATCAACTTACCTGAATTTGGAATTCTGAAAGCAGATTGCCCAGCAGTACAAATTGTAACAATTAATCAACTGTTCTTTGCATTTCCCCTAGAAAGAACTCATTGCTTGGGTTTAATTTAAGATATTTTAATTGTTGACCAGTAGATGGTAGAGAATTCAAGGAAGGAAAAGAACTAATATTTGATGGAATTGTCTTTCATTACAGATGCATTGATATTTTATAGCTAATCATTACAACAACCTTCTAGGGGCAGATTCTAACTAAGTGTTTTCTATGTCTGGATCAGCATGCTTGTATATGCCAATAATCAAGAATTTGAGGCCAGCTTGAGCTATGCAGCAAAAATCTATCTCTATTGCCACCCCTAGAAAAAAGTTAACAATCAATAGATGATATAGATATAGTTATCTGTATTTATATATATAAATAGAAACAAGCAATCAATAAATAGATGATATAGATACAGTTATATCTCTCTATATAGATAAATACAGATAATTATATATCAACTACTGATTCCTAACTTTTATATAGATATGGATAAATACATACATACATACATATATATGTGTGTGTGTATGTGTATATAATTACATATGTGTGTGTATGTATGTGTATCAGTTGCTACTTAAGTCCTTAAGACTCAGTACCTCATTTATTGATTTTAATTTGTATTAGCGTTGTGCAGGGGCTTGGACATTCTAGGCAGTCACTCTGTCCTTGAATCACATCCCAGCTGATTGTTTTCTTAAGACCCAGCTACCAGTTAAGGCATATTCATGGTAGGACTTGTGTGAGAACTGACTTGAATTAGTTAAGGGCTCATGGACTTGCAATTAACAAAAGCCATCCCTGCACAGCATCTATAGATGTGGAAAACACATCTCCCAAAGGCCCAGTCTCCAAATACTAACACATGAAATCAGAGATTATATTTCCAACGCATGAACTATTTTTGTTGTTATTTTGATTTCTTGGGACAACATCTTGTCATAGCCCAGGTGGCTAAAAACTCTAAATTGTCCTATCTCAACCTCTCAAGTGCTGGGATTGCAGGTATGTGCCATATACCTGACTACTGACACAGGAACTTGTAAGAGGTACTTTCAGACTATACTAGAAGGATCTAGTGGACTATGCCTTAAAATGTGGACAGAATTCAGATCAGTAGTTAAAAGCTGATATGTAGTGTTCTTTCAAAAAATAAGTCGAAGGGCTTTTAGGTGTGCTTAATGCCTTGCCGACCTGGTCCTTAATGAATAGTCCTTAATTTAGGTCACCAGTATACATTTTTGGGAGAGTAGGGTAAGACTTGGGTAACTGAGCTAATCACTTTTAACCTCAGTCTCATCAGTAAGATGGGAATAACTAGAGTATCTTCCTCTGAGATTTTCGTAGTGGTTGATTTGGTTCTTCTGTGAAGAGCCGTGAAGTGTGGCTAACTAAAGAAATGCCATAGAAGTGTTTACTGCTGCATACATAACCATCTGGGTGACCACCACAATCTCTGTCTTCATTCTCCACCTAGGAGCTGTTTGAAACCTTAGCACAAGGCCCAGTGGCCAGTATACCTGACAGAAGTCAGAGATGGGAAAGCACGACCCCTCAGCTAAGCGCTGAAGCTGTCTCCATGCTCTGGAATCTTCTGAAGCAAGCCCCTCGGCCAGCCCAGGCCCTGTTAGAGCTGCTGCTTGAGGAGTACCACAGCTCCAGCCTCTGTCCCAGTCCTCTGCAGAAATCACTGCTGGACCTCATCCGAAAGGCATTGAAGACCTTACGGGACCCTGCTTCTCAGCCCTCTGGGGTGGCTGATGCTGTCTGTGGAGCCCTTCAGGCTCTGTGCTGCACTGCAGAGCTACCAGAGAGTGAATGGCGTGTCCTGTGTGAGGAACTGTTGGAGACCTGCAGGACTGAGGGCAGTCCCCTGCAGGAGGAACAGCTGCTTGGTTGCCTGTTGCACAAGGCTGGACGGAGCCTACTGTCCCTCTATGGCCACACCTATGCAGAGAAGGTGGCAGAAAAGCCACCAAAGGCCACACTTTCAGGAAAAGGTGTGTTCTTTCACTGTTTGTCTTTCTACTTTGGTATTTTCAATATCCCTAGCCCTTCTGAAGTTCAGGACTAACTGTTGTACTTGTTTGTTGTCCAAGACAAGAGGGGCTAAGCAAAAATATGTAGCATGTTTCATAATTGTCTGTCTGTCTGTCTGTCTATTTGATAAAAATCAGAGCTTAAAAAAAAAATAACAGGATGCCAGGTGGTGGTAGAGTATGCCTTAATCCCAGCACTCAGAAAGCAGAGGCAGGCAGATCTCTGTGAGGTTGAGGCCAGCCTGGTCTACAGATCGAGTTCCAGGATAGCTTTGGTCTCAGAAAGACAACAACAACAACTATTTCTACTAATAATAATAATAATAACTCAGAAAGATGATTACTACTAATAATAATAACAATAACAACAATAATAATAAAATGACAAGAGCAGGAAAGAGCTTTGCAGAAGCTACTTATAGGAATGAAGTATCTGTCGGATAAAGTGTAAACAATCAGGTTTAGATTTTTACAAGAGTCTACTCTTGGGCCAGAAAGATCAGTGGGTAAAGGTGCTTGTCACACTAGCCCAGTAATCGGAGTTTGATCCCCATAACCCATGTAAAAGTGGAAGAAAAGAATAGATTCCACAACCTTGTCTGCTGACCTCCATAATATGTACACACTTGTCATCATCATGATTGTTTTTTAGGTTTGGGGTTTTTTTGTTGTGTTTTTATTTTTTGGTTTTAGTTTTTTGGATTTTTTTTTTTTTTTTTTTTTTTTTTTGGTTTTTCGAGACAGGGTTTCTCTGTGTAGCCCTGGCTGTCCTGGAACTCACTCTGTAGACCAGGCTGGCCTCGAACTCAGAAATCTGCCTGCCTCTGCCTCCCAAGTGCTGGGATTAAAGGTGTGCGCCACCACCGCCCGGCAATTTTTTGGTTTTTCAAGACAGGATTTTTCTGTGTAGACTTGGCTATCATGGAACTCACTCTGTAGACCAGGCTGGCCTCAAACTCACAGAGATCACCCGCCTCTGACTTCTTCATGCTAGGATTAATGGCACACACTACCACAGCCTGGCTAATAAATTTTAAGCAAGTCAATCCAAGCGCCTAGCCTCGAATCACTTGGTTTTCAGTGTCGACTGTAGCATAAGCAAAGGACTCTTGCCACTGCCTAGTAACCTTTCTGTTGTGATGTTCTGTCTTCCCAGATCTTCCTGATCCTGAGCGGGCAATGCTGGCCCTGTTCTCCACTCCTGACCCAGCCCATGCGTGGAAAATGGCCTTTTTCTATTGCCTGAGTAACAACAAGCACTTCCTGGAGCAGATCCTTGTGAGTCAAGCTTAATGCTGTCCATCATAGGAAAACCCAGAACTCTCTCCCACTCGTGTATCCAGCTCCTACAGTCTAGTTAGTGACAGATCCTCTGGTTGTCATCCTGCAGCCCCTAGGGAGAGAGGCCTCTGAGGATCAGTTCCGTTCCTGATCAATGCTATAGTCGCTTTCATTCTGTTGGACCTTTGGTAGGAAGTAAGATGTGGGCTGTGTGTCATCCTCCACTGGAGGATGTAGAAAGCAAAGGCCATGGCAGCCATACTAGGTCTAGCTGGCGGGGAGATTTAACTATCTCCTAACTCTCGCCTTCCCAATTGCAACTGAACTTTATTCACTTCAACAGATATTTATGAATCCCAACTTGTAGGCCATGTGCTGTGTGAAGAGAAGGGGTTACAACAGATGTCTGTCTCTCATTTCAAAATGCTTAGAATGTTGTGCTTTGGGGACATTTATTTTTATGTAACCAACTATTTGTGTCATCATCAGAATCCTCTCCTAATGAAGCTAGAAGCCATTCTTTCCAGTCAGGTAGCCGCCTATGGCGCCCTTTGGTTTGCAGGTAACAGCGTTGACCCTGTTGAAAGAGGAAGATTTCCCAAGCCTTGGATACCTGCTTGATAGAGAATTCAGGCCTCTCAGTCACCTGCTCGTGCTCCTGGGATGGACGCACTGTCAGAGCCTTGAATCAGCTAAGAGATTACTCCAGACTCTCTACAGGACCCAGGTATCTCATTCAGCGCCTCAGGGTGCTCCAAAAGTGAATACCATGGTACTTTGGGCCTACTTAGAGTTCAGTCTCCTACTCAGCCACAGTGTCTGATGCCAGGTGCCTGAGTCAGCATGTTTCTTCTGCATTGACACAGGACCAAGGCCACGATGAGCTTCTCAGGGACGCCTGTGAAGGATTATGGGCTCACTTAGAAGTCTTGGAGTGGTGCGTACAGCAGAGCAGGTATGTTCCTGTCAAGTCATTCCTGTCCTACCCTACCTGGGGCACACTCAATTCTGTGCTCTATTTCTGAAAAAAAAAAAAAAATGATACTGTTAACCAGGCAGGAATAATTGTTCCATCTATTAAACCAGGGGTTAGGGAAAACATAAATAATGACCAACTTCCATTTGCAACCATTGTGTCCCAGCCAGAGGACAATTCAGCGTCTGAAAGAGCAACAGCTCACAATCCCTAGGCATGTACTATAGGCCGTGCATTGTTCTAAGCCCCTTAGAAGACCATCAGTCCTCACAACATTCAGTGAAATTGGATCCCGGCAAGAGTCTTTAAACGTGGGACACTAAAGGTCACATGTGGTGGCTCACTCTTTTAATCTCAGTTCCTGGGAGGCAGAGGCAGGCTTGTCTCTGTGAATTCACAGGCAGCCCATTCTACATAGCAGGTTCCAGGAAAGCCAAAGTTGTTACATAGTGAGACCATGCCTCAAAAACCACAACCACTACCCAAAACAGTGAGACACTGAAGCCCAGAACTGTTAAATAATCTGCACAGCTATACAGCAAGTAAATTATCATCCATATTCTTAGCCATACATTATTCTGGATATGTTATTCAACCTATGTTCATTGGATGTATATGAAGCCCTCTCTTTTCCTAGTCACTTAGCCCAGATCTGAGCTTCCATTTAATTGCTTGTTCAGTTCACCAGTGCTCAGAAAGTTAAGTAGTTGGAAGGGTGAGCAGGGAGGGGTTCTAACTCAAAGTAAAGCAAAAAAACTTATTTCAAAGCTGCAGAGCATATAGAACTTAGGAACTTCGATCATCGGGCCTTCTAAGACAGCACTGACCAAAAAGGCTCTTCCTAGATCCTTTCTAGACAAGTATCTAACTTGGTGGATATAATTCCTTCAAGGTGAATAAATGTCACCTTTGATCCTAGACCTAGTAAAAGAAGATAGTTTGAGAAAGTAGAACCTGAAGTATTATAGGCCAGAGAACTTTGTCCCTCTGCCTGGCAACAGTATAAACTGCCTCCCTCTCCATCCTTCTATCCTTCCTTTCCAGCAGCCTCATACCAAAGAGAGAGCTCTTGTGTCACTTACATGGTGGAGACAGCCACTCAGTGCTGTACTCTCTCCATCACCTTACAAACCTTCCAGCCCTAAAGGAGGAAGAAGTCCTTAAGCTGTTACAGAAGATGCCAACCAAGGACCTCCAGGGAGAGCATGGTGAGCTGGCCAGGATTCCCTCTGAAGAGTCTCTCACATGTCTCTTGCAATATGAGATCAATCTAGACATGGCTGCCAGGATACCTGATAGGCGGTTGGTCCAGCATGTATCCTCTGAAGTATTGCTGTTTCCCCAGTCTGATTAGAGGATGTAGCGGCATCCCTCCCCTCTGCCACTGAGGTGTAGGGAATCCCATGGACATGCTCCCATTGTCGCCCTCTGGAATCATGTCAGGGACTAACTCAAATGTCCATGAAGCCATGCTGTGTAATGTCTTCTGCATTCTCAGCTCTGTGGGAATTCTTGGTGAGTGTACTTGATGCTTCATAAACTTCTGCACAGCACATTTTGTGCCTCTGTCAGACTCTGTTGAGCAGAACAAGAAGCTTGGAGGAAAGACTTGCCACAAACAATAACAAAGCCGTATTTTTTTTTTTTTTCTTAAAAATCAAGATCCGATGAGTAGGCTCTTTCTCCTTCTTTCTAAAAGTACTGCCATGGTGGAATCACATTCTGCTCCACAGATCAGAGAACTGTCTTGATGACAATAGATATCTCCAGCAGGGAGATGTTGCTCTGATTTACTTTTAAAAAGAACTTGTCACAAACCAGTGTCACCACATTCCTTTTCCCCTAACCCCTACCCTTCCCACCTCCAGAAAGATGGGCAACTTGTTTAGAAATTCCTCCCTCACCCCCAACAAAAATAAAATAAAATTATAACTCACACCTACAAGTGCAAAAGGCTCCCAAGGGTGTATTTGAGATTTGGCCTCTGAACCCACTGTGATGTACTTGGGGCTTGGGGCTTAAGCTTGAGAAGGGACAGCAATAGGACCATGGCTGGGGTACAAACCATATGAGGTAGAAGACAGAGCCCAGGCAGTGGAGGCCATGTGTCATATTGAAGGAAGACTGCTAGGGAAAGGGAAGCAAAGAGGACAAAACTAGTATTGACTAGGGGAAAGGCCTGGAGGGTAAGAACCACAGGACAATCCTCTTTGCTTCAGCCATGCTTGCTGCTCATGCCTGAAAAGATTACCTCTGAACTTCTATCTGTTTTTATGCTTCAGATACCCATGATGCCTCAGTCCCTGAGCACCTGAGCCAGTGTCAGAGCCTGACCCTCTACCAGGGCTTCTGTGCCATGAAGTATGCGATCTATGCCCTCTGTGTGAACTCACACCAGCACTCTCTGTGCCAGGACTGCAGAGACAGTGCCTCCGAGGACCTGGCCTCGGTGGAGCCAGGCAGCGATTCGCTCCCCTCCCCAGGTACATAGCGTCCCTCTCCCTGGCATATGCAGACACCTTCCCCAGTGACTGCTCTGTGTGTTTAGCACTTCCTCCAGGATGGAGTACCCTTGATTGGAAAGTGCTCAGGAATAATTGTAGACATCAATTGTATACATGTATATCTCAACCTCTGCATCGAAAGGATCTGCCTACGTCTTGATGGATCTTACTCTGATCATCTAGCATAGTATTTGCCAAATGTTTTTCTTTTTGTAGCTAAACGCCATAGTGAAAATACCATTTCAGGGACTGGAGAGATGACTCTATGGCTGGGCAGTGGTGGCGCACACGTTTAATCCCAGCACTTGGGAGGCAGAAGCAGGAGAATTTCTGAGTTCGAGGCCAGCCTGGTCTACAGAGTGAGTTCAAGGACAGCCAGGCATGCACAGAGAAACCCTCTCTCAAAAAAATAAAAACAAAAACAAAACAAAACAAAAAACACTGGCTACTCTTGCAGAGGCCCTGAGTTCAGTTCCCAGCACACATGGCAGTGTATAATTGTAAGTGTACTCCCATGGGATCTGATGCCCTTTTCTGATGTACAGATGTGCATGCCGACAAAGCACCCACATACATAAAATACATAAATAGATCTTTAAACAATTGAAAGAGCGCCCTCTCTCTCTCTCCTCCCTCTCCCTCCCTCTCCTTCTCCCTCTCCCTCTCTCTCCTCCTTTTCTTCTGCTCACATACTCTTTCTCTCGTTCTCTTCCCCCTCCTCCCCTCCTCTCTCCCCATGGTGACTTCCCTGGCTTCCATCCTTGGGGCCAGTAAACTCATCTGTGAGCAGCTTCCCAGTAAACCTGTCTATGTATATTAAAAAAAAAATAGAATATTTCTTATCAACTCTGGTTTAAACTTAAGTGTGCAGCTTATATCTTTATATATGTATGCATTTGTATATGTAAACTATAAATTGAAGCTTAGTATTAAGAAACAGTACTCCAAGTAAAACATACTTAATGATTTTTTCTTTTCCCTTCTATTTTTCCTTCCTTCCTTCCTTCCTTCCTTCCTTCCTTCCTTCCTTCCTTCCTAAATCATACTGTGTAGTCAGTTCAAATGGAAATTGATGTAGCCTAGTCTGGCCTCAAACTCTGAAGCCTCCAAACACTGGGATTACAGGCACAAACTACCAAGCTTAGCTCTGCTTCCTCCTACTCCTACTCCTTCTCTTTTAACTTTTTTTTTTTAGACTTTTTTTTAAAATATATGTGTGTGTTTTGCCTGCATGTATCTCTTTTGCCTGGTGCCCACAGAGGCCAGAAAACAAACCAGACCTCCTTAGAACTGGAGATACAGAGGCTGTGAGCCATCATATGGGTATAGGGAGTCAAACCCAGGTCCTCTAGGAAAGCAGCCAGTACTCTGAACCACTGAACCATCTCTCCAGCCCCTCCTCCTTTAGGGCAGTTTCATTCTGTAGCTCAGGCTGGCCTTGAACTTGTGGCAACCCTCCTACCTCAGCCTCTAGAATGCTGGGATCAGAATGGCACCACCACATTCTGGTGGGATAAGAGACCTAGGCAGCCTAAGGCCCTCTTTAAGCATAGTGGGAGGTTAAAGTAAAATTGAGGGATAAGGGGTCCATGTTACCTTAATCCCCAGAACTGATATATGAAGCATTTGTCGTAGATAAGGAAGAATGTCATAGTTTAAGAGCAGAAGCGTGGCATTGTTTAGTGGGCTCTGCTGGCTCTCCACCTTGTCTCTTCCTCATCCATTCTTAGGTGCTTCACATCTCTTCCCAACATACCTGGCCAGGTGCCGACAGTATTTACATAGCATCCCCGACTCTCTGTGCCTGGAAATCCTGGAAAACATCTTCTCGTTGCTCCTCATTACCTCTGCCGACCTTCACCCAGAGCCTCACCTGCCTGAGGACTATGCCGAGGATGAGGACGTTGAGGGGAAAGGCCCGCTGGGTTTGAGGTCTCCATCAGAGAGCCCTCAGCGCATAGCCGCACCTGAGAGGAGGTCAGAGCGGGCTTCCGTGGGACCCAGGAACCTTGCTCATACAATGGCAGGCTGTCCAAAGGAAGAACCGAAAGACAGTTCACCAGGGCCTCACAAGCACAGCTTTTTGGATCTGAAGCACTTTACTAGTGGCCTGAGTGGATTCCTGGCTGATGAGTTTGCTATAGGCGCATTCCTCAGCCTTATTCAGGAGCAGCTCAGTGAAATCAGCAGCCACAGCACAACCGAGGAGACAAGGCTGCTGGAAGACCAGAGCTGCTCAGCAGCCAGAGACGGACTGCAGAGCCGCCTGCACAGGTTCTCAAAGGTTCTCTCCGAGGCACAGTGGCGGTACAAAGTGGTAACAAGCAACCAGGGCTCAGGTGAGAGAAGGGTGGTCAGAACTAGACAGTCTAGAAAGTAGGAAAGGAGAAAAGCCCCAGTAACGTGGGCAAGGGGCAGACGTGTGGGAACCACACCTAATCCAGAGCGTATGAGCATAGCAGCCAATCTCAGAGCTGAATCTCAGCCAGGGCAGTGCTGCCAATCTCAGAGCTGAATGAAGATTTGCCTGTTTGCACAAGTGATCAGATCAAAGCTGGTCACCATGCCTGTGTTTGCTGTTTTAGAAGAGCAACCTTCCAGAAGATACCGGCCCATTGCCACAAGGCATTCTAGTCTCCGCCGAGGTCGTCGGACCAGAAGGACCCGGGCAGGTGATCTAAAGAACTCTCTTCTCAAGCCTTGTTCCTGTTCACCTGACAGAGAGGCACACGGGTGCTTGTCATCTGTTCCTTTAGACTGAGCATATCGTCAAAACCACAAAAGCCTCCTCCCACTCCCACGGTCAGGACTTAACAGTTTCTTACACAGCCATGCAGAAATTTTCCATTCAACACAATATGCATATCCTTTCACATATTCACACATACACACATACACACACACACACACACACACACACACACACAGGCTGTAAGCACTCTGGATAGGGGGAAGGGGTTGCCATGAGAAAAACCTGGGAAACTGCATGGCAGTGGTGTCGCTCAGCTCTGATGTTTCTCAGTTGATTGGTTTGGGACACAGGCAGAATCTGCATCCCCCTGAGTCACCCAGCCCAGGAATATACACTCCATATCCTTTTCTCCACAGCTGTTTCCACAGGCTGCCTCAGCAGTGGGCCAAGGGGACACCATTGGTGGGTGACACAGCCTTCATAAGGCCACACCAAGGGTCAGACAGCCTCCATTGGCTCTGAAGCAATTTTTCCCTTGGGCTTTGAACCGAGCAGCCTTCCACAGGCCGTGACTCAACACTTCATTTCCTCCCTTTTCATATCTGAAAACACGTCCTCTATGTCAGAAAATGTCATGACTCCTTTGCACCCCACTGTTTCCTGGTCATGATAGCTGTGCCTTTATTTTACCAAACTACTGCTAGTACTTAGTCTTCAGATGTTGGTCACAAGCTCCCAGGACTCTAAGACACGACATGGTAAAAGCCATTGGTATAAACTGCTACCCAGAGACTTCTGGAGCCATATCATGCCCACCCTCTATCCTGTACTCATCCTTTAGGCTCAGTCTACCCAGATCTTGGCTTGTAGTCTGACTTTGCACTTTGTACACTAAAAGGAGTTGCTGACTAAAGTTTCTATCTATTACCTCTAGACGGCCGGGAAAGAGGCTCCAACCCATCCCTGGAAGGAACAAGTAGTGAGCTGAGCACAAGTACTTCAGGTGTGTGCATCCCGACCAGCTGCTACCTGTAGACAGCTTGCCCTCGTACACTCTTGCCATGCCCTGTGGTATGAACACTAGGACTGAAGCTCTGGACAAGGTGTATTCTCGCACATAGCAGCAGATAGCAGCTGGGAAAAGGGAAAGACTCTTTTTCTTAGTTAAGTGACCCAACAGTGGGACAAAGGTGATTATTCAAGGAAGGTAGTTGGTACTTATTTTCTAAGATGGTAGTAAGTTTGCCCTTCATATATGGAGTCATGACTGGCAGTTATTTAGGGACAGGAAGAAGAGAGGTGCTTCATTAAGAGGCTCTTTCTAACCTGGGCAGTGGTGGTGCATGCCTTTAATCCCAGCACTCGGGAAGCAGGGGCAATCGGATCTCTGTACGTTCAAGGACAGCCTGGACTACAGTGAGTTCCAGAACAGCCAGGGCTACACAGAGAAACACTGTCTTAGGTAACCACCACCACCAACAACAAAAAAGACTTATTTACAAATCTTCATGGAAAATATAGGAACATGGAGAGATGTGGGGAGACAACTCTAGTTTTTTCCTTAACGTCTCCAACGTTCTTACACCCAACAGAAGGGAGTCTGAGTGCTGTGTCTGGGCAGGTGGAGCTGGACAACCGGTTTCAGCCTCAACCTCAGAGTTCCATCATCCCCATGATGTTCTCCCCGCCGGAGTCTCTGCTGGCATCCTGTATCCTCAGAGGGAACTTTGCAGAAGCCCATCAGGTTAGCAAAGCCATAGCCATACTCTGTCATGGTAAAGCATGCTAACTAACGGGCTGTCTTATCCGGCCTCAGGGAAAGCTAAATGCGCGTGACATCAAAAGTACCTGGGAGTGCTTCCAGGAGATCCCACTGAGCAGAAGAATTAGAAAGGAATTTCTGTGTGTGCAGGCCCTGTACTCAGCGCTGCAGGCTTAGAGGCACTGAGTTATTTGTGTTCCTAATAGAAGTAGTATGTTAACAAAATAAAATAGCCGGGATCTCACTACCTCATCACAGTGAAACTTTTGTTTCTTTCTTCATTCTTATGTAAATGTATATGTATTTTTATATAGTTAAAAATCAGAGCTGGTCATGGTAATGCACACCTTTAATCTCCTTACAAGGATGGTAGAGGCAGGTGGATCTCTGAGTTTGAGGCCAGCCTAGTCTACAGAGCAAGTTCCAGGACAGGGCTACATAGAGAAACCCTGTCTTGAAAAAAAAAAAAAATCACAATGCAGATAATTTTTAGTAATAAACAGAATGACAGCTCGTTCACCATACAGCATAGAGGCAGCAAACTGGAGGGCCCTGGTGTGTAAGGAAAATAGCAGTCAAAAGACTCAAGCTCTCCAAGCCTTGATCCTCCGTGGACGATCATAGCTTAATATATAATTCCTGCTTTTACCACCTCATTGTAAGGCTAAGAAGATTATACAGAAGTCATGAGAAATGCAGGAACCTTGTTTTGTTTAAACTCAATAGCATTAAGTACCACTTGTGCTTCAAACTCTCCGTGCAGTTTTTGAAACTTAATGCCAGTCTCTGACCAAACATTTAGGTTGGAATTTTCTGTGGCGTGACTTCAGTTGTTAAGCAGATCTAGGGGAAACTCCATGCTAGGATGATCTCTCCTTAATTCCCACTGTACCTTTTAGAATTCCTATTTTAATAAATAGGAGACGAGCTAGGGGATCCCTACACATACACACACACATGCACACACACACACACACACACACACACCGTTTCTTTTTGTTTTTGTAATGCCATGGATTGAGCCAGAGGTCTCACACATGCTGGGCTTCACAATGAGTTACACTCCCAGGTCAGAAATGGATCCTGGATCTCACCGCTCTGCTGTTCTTGCCTCCCAGCCTTTCTTCAACACAAACAGCTGGACTAGGAGTTGCATGGTGCTTTCTCCTCTAAATACCTTACATTTGTCTTCTTTCCCTTAAGTTTGTGTGTGTGTGTGTGTGTGTGTGTGTGTGTGTGTGTGTGTGTGTGT